GCAACCCTTCCTGCCCTCCCTCTCATGATCTGCCCAAGTTAACAAAATCAGCACTGCTATCAGATAGCCATGTAGCCTGTGTTTAAAAACCTCCAAAGAAGGAGAGCCCACCACCTCCCAAGGAAGCCAGTTCCACTGAGGAGCCGCTCTAACTGTCAGGAAGTTCTTCCTCATATTTAGCCGAAAACTCTTCTGGTTTAATTTCAACCCATTGGTTCTGGTCCAATCTTCTGGGGCAACAGAAAACAACTCTGCACCCTCCTCTCTATGACAGCCCTTCAAGTACTTGTCATATTACCTCTCAGTAGTCTCCTCTCCAGGCTAAACATACCCAGCTCCTTCAGCCTTTTCTCATAGGACCTGGTCTCCAGACACCTCACCATCTTCTTTGCCCTCCTCTGGACACATTCCATCTTGTCTATATCCTCCTTAAATTGTGGTGCCCAAAACTGAACACAAATCCTAAGAGAAAGATGAAAAGGTTGTAAGTTAATGTCATCTGTTGCAGGGAAACTGGGAAAAACGCATTCTGAAGAGTCTAAATAGCATGTGCACAGAACTTGGCATTCCATTAGCACAGAAGGTACGTTAATGGACTCTTTTTCCAGAGAATGTAATACTTAGTCAAGACATAACCATATTTTAAAATGGGGGAGTGTTTTAAAAGACATATACAGCATGTTACTAAACACTATCGGGTATTGGTTTGTTGAACTATGGACCTTGTTTTTATGGTTCTCAGAGATCCATAAATGAGCAGAAGGAACTTCTAAGTAAATGGAACGAAATGGGAACAGATGAGCCAGGTATGTGAATCTTTGCTTTATGAAATATAAATTCATATCAGTATTTATAACAATGCAGTGTATATATGGCTAAACATATTAAAAGCTAAAAGTTTCCCTTGCTCAAAAGCTAGTCGAATCCGACTCTAGGAGGCAGTGCTCATCTCCGTTTACAAGCCGAAGAGCCAGCGCTGTCTGAAGACATTTCCGTGGTCATGTGGCCAGTATGACTAAACGCTGGGGCACACAGAATGCTGTTACCTTCCCACCAAAGTGGTACCTATTTATCTACTTGCAGTTGCTTGCTTTCAAACTGCTAGGTTGGCAGGTTCTGGGGCCAGAGATGGGAGCTCACTGCATCACGCGGCACTAGGGTCTCGAACTGCCAAGCCACAGACCTTCTGGTCTGCAGCTTCAGTGTCTTAACCTCTGAGCCACCGCAGCCCCGGGTAAGCATATAGCAGGTTATAATCTGAAGTTGAATCCCAACAAGATGTAGGTCTACTGGCCGGGTTGAAGGACTATCCCAGGCACTGAGGTGTCTCCTATTCTGAATGAGGTTGCAGTCCCTCTAAGGACGCTGATTCAAAGCTCTGAGATTTAGTTGGATAAACTGGAAGTAGTGCGGTTGCCAGATAGACAGACAGACAGACAGACAGATTACTGCTGCCCTGGAAGAATATCCAGAAACTACAATAGCTGCAGAATGTTGTGCCAAGAATACTGCGTGGATGGAGGGGTAGGGACTATATCACTTCAGTCTTGTTCTATCTACACTGGCTCCCAATTTGCTTCTGGGCCCAATTCACTGTGCCGGTCTTGACCTTTAAAACTGGCCTTGGGGCCAGCACACATTAAGAACCACTCACTCCCACATGAACCTGCCTGACTGCCCCAGTCCTTTTCGGAGGGCCTCCTTCGGGTGCCCCCAATGTCTGCGGCTACACAGGTAGTGAAGGGCCTTCTCGGTTGTGGTGCCAAAACTGTGAAACTCCAGGTAGATTCATCTGTTCCACTCTATATGTTCTGCCAGTGAATGAACACCTTTTTGTTTCATTTGGTGTTCCCTTACTGACCCTCCTTGCTTTGTTTATAATTGTTCATTCATATATATAATTCTGCTTTCGAGTGGCAACATTCCATACACTCCCAAATCAGTTGGCTGCCTGATCTGTCACTCAGAAGGTGTGCCAATTTCCTGACTGTGTTGGGTGGCCATGATACAGCAGCCTTATTGAAGCAAAGCTGGTCAGTCCCTAGTTGAGACACTTTGGCACCCTGAGTGGGATCCAGTGATCCCTTAGCAGAAGGCTCTGTTGATTGTGTATCTTCTCTGCTTTCTCCTTTCCCTAGAAGTCCCTTTGACCCCAGGAAAGTTGATATCTGGGGTCGCAGGACCCATGTGGAGTAATAGCTGTGCAGGTTGGTGAGCTGTCGTCTGGGGGGGAGGAGTCAATCATCCTTCCTTCCTCATTGGATAGAAGATGGAGGAGGGAGCATTTCGCCCCCTCTCCTCTCCTTACCACCGGCCACTGGCATGTGTCTGTTACCCCATGGGGTATCCTCGACTTTGCTAGGGTTGGAAGCTGGAAGAGACTTCTGAGAAGGTGGGAAAGCAGGGAAGATCTGTGATCCTTGCATGAGCTGATTGCTGGATCCAGTGCCCCTGTGTGCCCTCTTGAGTTCACTGTTCTCCTGTCATGGAATACATAAACTAAGCAAACTTTCTACTTCATTATCGGCATAAGTGGAACCTTAGAGAGTGAGACAGACAGGACCTGTTTCCAAGGAGATGGCAACTGAGAATGGATAGGAAAATAACCAGCAGGAGGAGGGAGGTTTGTGGGCATACGCTGTTGTTGATATTCCAGTTTTTGAAAAACAACCCTTGATTAACTCACAGTCTGAAAATAAATCTTCAACTTGTAGACCGCTTACACTTTTAAGTAATAATAACGATGACGTTGTACTTTTACTGGATATTATCTGTGCTTTCAGTGCAGCAATGTGGCTGTGCCGAGGGGAGAAAGGATGTGAATCTTTGCTAGTTAGAAATGTTTGCGTGACGTAGTTTGTGTTAATCCCGCACCTTCTGATTTATCGAACAGGTAGCGGGCATATCAGCTTGATAACTGATAGCAAAATTGCTACATAGCCTTTTAATGGAGTTCGGTAGCAGTTGGATTATGTATTTGGAAACTCTGGATATTAACAGCGCCAGCCAAAGCAGAGTCACATTTTTCTGAGCCCATAAAAGTCAGCGGGTTTAGAAGAGTGTAACTTTGATTTTTTGTGAATATATTTTCCCCCATCTGGGACCATCTCCGTTGCTCTTGATGTTCCCTCTAAACTGTGGAGTCTTGTGAGCAAAAATTCTACTTTGTGAGCTGCTGGCATTAAAGTTGTGAGCGAGCGATTTGGCTACTGCATAAATGAGTTTGCTCTGGAGCCCTCCTTCCTGAGCTGAGACAGAACTCTGTGAGCCGGAGGCTAAAAAGCTGTGAGCTAGTGCACTCTAACTCAGCTTAGAGGGAACACTGGTTGTGACTGCAGATTTTAAGGACACATTCTACTGTGTTGTGGGGAATACAGGGCAAGGTGAACGAAAGAGTTCTCTTAGCGCTAGCTTCGTGGTACAAAATAGTTGAAAATCATTTTTCTCCGGACCGGCTGGATAAATATGATGACTCGTAATTACAGCCAGTAGAATGTGCAGATGGAATAGTGCGAGCGGGAAACAATTGGTAAATATTTTAATTAAATAAATTACAGCCAGTAGAATATGCAGAGGGAGTAGGGCGAGTGGGAAACAATTGGTAAATATTTTAATTAAATAAATTACAGCCAGTAGAATGTGCAGAGGGAGTAGGGCGAGCGGGAAACGATCTGTTAATGTTTTAATTAAATAACTGTATATCTCTCGTTGATTTCAGACCTAAGCCTATTCCGACCTGTTTATGCACCTAAAGATTTTCTTGAGGTAATTTTTGAATGCCTAGTTAGATTTTCAGTTGCATGCTTTAAAAGGTAGGTTAAAAATTTGATTGGAAATGACGGCTGAAATGAGTGAAATTGTCTCCAATATGCAAAAATTGTCTCACAACTAGAGCCAGTTTGATGTAGTGGTTAAGTGTGTGGACTCTAACCTGGGAGAGCCGGGTTTGATTTCCCACTTGCAGCTGCTGGATGACCTTGGGCAAGCCATAGTTCTGTCAGAGTTGTTCTCTCAAGGACAGTGCTCTCATCTCTCTCTCAGCCCTACCTACCTCACAGAGTGTCTGTTGTGGGGAGGGGAAGGGATGGGCATTTGTAAGTCACTCTGAGACTCCAAGTGAAGGGTGGGGTGTAAATCCAATCTCCTCCTCCTCCTCCTCCTCCTCCTCCT